GTTGAGATAAACCGTGGGTACAGTTCTCCTTTTAAAAAGATGCTGGTTGAATACTACTCCAAGGGACTGCATTTTAACAGATATATTCAGATGTCTGTCCCTGCGTCTGAAAGGGCCAAGCTTTGAACGAAGTAAAACGTGGTTCGCACGATCAAACGTCCTATTGAAGCTTAGATAACTTACGAACTGGGCGGATGTAGGTGGTGAGACCGAATATTTGAGTGACACACGCGGTCACTCACCACCAGCCAGATCTGACAGCCAACCAGACTGCTGTCTCGACGAGGCGCGCGGACGAAAATAGGACGCAGAAACGGATCCGCCCCCCCCCCCATGTGTAATGCTGGCCGTGCATCAATTATTTACTATCTGTTGATGTTCAGTTGCATACGTCGTAGAAAGATTTAGACTCAAAACAACGCAACCGCCAGATCGCAACATCTGCTTTAGACACCCCCTGTCTCTGGACTGCAGAAAATAAACAAGAGCATAAGGACTACCGCGTGTCACATGAGAGACCTTTTGTGAATGCCACTTTGAAGTGCACTTCATGAATTCCTATCTGTAAAGTGATGCAAAATCATTTTTTCAATGGTCATCTAGAATGCTCGAAGATGTTCCTTTGTCCAAAATCATCGAAGTAATTAGAATGGCCGTAATTGATGGGGGAAGGGGGAGGAAGTGTGACTACTTCCACGAGCTGGGCAGAGTTTCACTTCCAACCACGGCACCGAAAGTTGCATAGGAGACACGGAAGTACTAGGTTGTTGTTGTGGCCTGTGTTATTCGGCCATCGGAACGTCCAGTGGCTACAGATGACTCCTAGCAGATGGAATGAAGAATATCGAGAAGGAAATAAATCCAAACATCAAGGTTCGGAAGTGGGCCGGTCGAGGTTTCATTGAGGTCACAGAGCGAGTCACGTCAGCACTTGTGGATACTCATGACTCTCCCACGCACGATTGACTTCTTACTGGTTCGTCATTGTGTTATAGAAGTTTTTGGAGAGGGGTTTTCAGTGAAGTTACTTTTTCAGTAGGCTGTTTACTTTTCGATAGATTCCTTGAAAGCCAAAGTACGATGCATTAAACATCAGACTCGAATTACTTTTCGGACGTGCGGAGGGAGGGGTGGACTTCGTAACCGGTGACAAAATGGTGAAGAACTAGAAATATCTTCGGTTTCACTGACAAGCTAGGATGAGCAAAGCCAGCTTTGGTGGAGTGACTGGCAAAGGGACGGGAGGGGATTTATTGTAGTCTCCTATATTTTTACGTTGTGCGCATGACTTCCGGTAACCATGGCCAGATGCGTGGGTGAAGTTAATCAGTATTTGCACTGTGCACACTTACCATCCTCTGCTTCTGTGAGAAGAAGGCATGGCTGCGCCCAAGTAAGCCTGCTCAGTCATCCGGGAGGCTATTGAATTTCATTACGGGTCACGACTCCTGTCTGGTGGGAAGACGACCCGATTTAGCCTGAGGCGCCCAGCGGATTGCATGTTGACCTCTCCGTAGGACTTTTGTGTTTGGAAGTGGAGGGGGGAATGCTGGGGAGTATTTATGCGTCTAACGACTGCTGGGACACACATACGCACGTCGGACATCCTCATCTGGTTTAGCCCACCGGTTAGGGACAATGACTGTGTTGAGTACGGCCTCATGGGGCCACAGGTGAGATCTGTCACCCGGGAGAGGAAGATGTATAAGTGTCCGCCATGCTCATCGGTGCGTTTGATGGGAATAGTCAATGTAGTGCTACAAGTACCTGTTAAGAACGTGGTCGTGCCTGCACTAAGCAACCCTGATTGGATATTCATGATTGTGTATGTGGTAGTTGAGGCATGTGTGATCGTATTTTGCGCAGTCCGACTTGCAATGCACATTGTTAGAGCAAGTTTGCGGTTCTGTAATGCTCCTGACTTTGGACTTTGAACTGTGCATTAGAATTGTAATTAAATAATTTAATTCTTATGGTGATTGTTATGTCGCATTTGGCACGACAGTGAGTTGTTCTTCACTCCGTAAATTATATAAATGAATTGTTCACTAATGTATATGCGTTTTTCTTCCGCCAAGAGTGAGGATTCCTTTGAAAAATCGAAGACAGTCAAAAGTGTATTGGTGCCTATTAGAAGGACGGAAAGTAAGCTACAGAAGGGATGTGAGCGTCGTGACTACTTCCAGGAACTCGCCTTCTCGCTTCTATTAGCGAATGTGGAATTTCTTGGGAGTAAATTAATGACATGTAAATTGGTGTTGGTGTGTATCCAGCGTATCCGCCGCCGCCGCCGCCACCACCACCACCACCACCGCCGCCGCCACCACCACCGCCACCACAATCACCATCACAACTGACACTTCTGTCCTCTCCCGCCCGCACTCTTTCGGCACATTCACTTCACGCATTGTCCTGCCCGGTCGCCCGCGATTCCGTCGCAGACAGTCTGGTGAACCAGTTCCTGTCGCACCAACATACACCAGACGCACTCGCCCCGACTACGCGTATTGCCTTCGCACATTCAGCCACCGCATGAGCATACTAAGCCACATGCGCATTTATGTGGACCTGCAGTAGAAAATCGTCGGCTTATACATTACCTTCACACCTTTCCCCACCAGCACCTACGACGCGCATCAACATCACCCATCACCACACACCGCAAGCCATCAATTGACACCTATCACGCAGGTGGGAAGTGTTCTCCTCGGCTTCCTCCTTAAGTGACACGTCTGCTGCATGTGTGATCAGAGTCCGCAACTATCACAGTGCGCCATCGCCGTGGCTTGTAAGGCAGCCTATAAAAAGGACTGGAAATAATCTGCAGAAGAGATGTAGGAGTTTTTGGAACTAGAGTAATGACATGGAAATAGGTAGATTAGGGAATTCAACGTGCGTCCTCCCGAATAATTTATGAAACACCTAGTGCAGGTTTTATGATGTTTTTGCACAGACAGCGCGAACGGACTCTTTGCATTTTTGCTTTCCCCATTCGTTGCGAGAAGCGTGTCGAGATCAATCTTCATAAACTGCCTGAATTGGGACCGGAGGTTACCTAATTGATTTCTGTTATTCTTCGCAGATCTATGATTTTCTGTCAACTGGCACTGACTTTGCTTTTAACCTACTAACTTTCTACACTAACATCTCCGATCGAGAGAGCAGTTGAGTTTTTATCGGCTTGCCGTCGCACCGGCTGATTTTGAAGGCAGAGCAAAGGTAGGGGTTTTAAATTCTGAGGGTTTAACAGAGCTACCAGTGAGATGTTAATTTACGAGTTTATGCAGTGGTGGCAGCATCGAAACCTTAATGCGGAACATGGGAGATTGTGAAGGGTGCTTTGCTAGTATAGACAAGATGTATTGTTTTTTTGTACAACAGGTTTATTATTTTACAATAAAAACCATGATATTCTGAAATGCGCAGCGGAATGAAAGGAAAATAAGTGCGAGCAAAGGTACGACCATTATCTCCCGCATCCACTCACGCTCTGCGGGAAGAATCTCCACTGGCCTCTATGGCTGTGATTGCAGAAAAGGCAAGCATGGAAATGTTGATTCATCTTTCATTCTGATCCACCAAACAACAGCCGGTAGAATTTCATGTGCAATTGGGCATTTCATTCGCAAAAGAGATGCGTTCTAAACATAAAAACAAACTTATCACGACTTTCCTTGTCATACAAAGTGCACACCGGGACTTGTGGATAGTGTCTGGATGTTGCCAACAGTTTCCAGGCACTAGGACAGCCTGAAAGCAACCCCTGAACAGCAGCCAACCGATTACAGCCGTACCTGCAGTAGATAAGCTCCAGCCTAACCCCTAACCTTAACCACTAATCCCAACTCCTAGCCCCTAACAGGTACGGCTACGAAATAAAATCTTTCCAAAGTGCTTGCAATATACATAGGAGACGCAAAAAGCAAAAAAACAATATTTTTTCCGGCGTTAGGTACTGATTAATGAAAACAGTCGTACCAATTAAAGGAAGAACCACAGCTGAAGGATGGCCGTTCAGAACCGATGAGTCACACTTTAGTTCAAAGCCGAGTTCACCTGACAGGCTCTCGGTAGGGCACCGGAATAAGTACTCCTGAATTACAGATGGCCCTGCGCTAAATTCCAGGAGGGGACTTAGGTTTGGGACAAGTGTTTAGGTTAAAATTAGGAAATTTGACGCAAGACCACCTGTAGTACGAGGCTACTTATTCCCATGTTTAATCAGGTACTTCTCGGTCGAATGTCTATCCATCCCAAAATGACCCATGGTCAGCAAGTATTGGCCGAGACTTCGAAGCGCCAAAGCTCCACCGCTATTTTCCAAATAAAGATCTTTGTCTGATTATGAATCCTGTCTTGAAATACCTCTTCAGACAAATAAGGTTGGCTTGGTTGCTAATAAAAGGGGGTAGACTACTTAGTTGGGTGGCAACTTGAGTTGAGTGGTCTTTTGGATAATTTCTCACAGGCAGCGGACGTATAGTGTAGGCCTTCTGTAAGTTGGATTTTCTGCGCTTCGAGGCGTCTACTAACATTAGCACCTCTCGCATTAATCGCAGGTAGGCGTAGATCGAGCGATTACTACTTGGTCGGCCACACCCGAGTCGTTAATTGCCGTAATTTCACCACTCGTGTTGGTTGCTGGTGTCAAAATGACTCCGTCCACCGACAGACACGGTAAACAGCGTTTGCGCGCGAGCTGTCCTCACCCGGATAATTAATCTGCCCAGACAAAGTGGTGATGCCCGAGTTGGAGGGCGGTGGGGATATCTATGCTTGCCGATACAAGCGAAAATGCGAGTTCCAGGAACTAGTTGATCAGAAGAAGAAGAAGCGATCGCTGGAACAATGGCTTTATTCGCCTGACGTTTCGGATTCTCTCTTGAATCCATCATCAGAGACAGTTGCAGAAAAGGGTGGCTAGTGTACAGGCAGTCGCAGTATTTATAGGATGCGGTCGCCATGCTACCGCATACCTGCAGCAATTAACCGTGCTCCCTTCATCGAGGATTGTTGCCCGCAGGTGCGCTAATTGCTTGATGGCCGGCATGCAAGTTGTTAATTGCTGACATCTCATCACCCGTGTTGGATGCTGGCGTGATGATTGCTCGGCCATCTGGCTCACGTGCTTGCGCGCTCCTCGAGTGGTCAATTGCTTTGGCCAGTCTATGCCTCAGGACTGAATATGGAGTGGGGATGTCATTGCACTTGTTGATAGACTGAGATCCCGTGAACCATGACTCAAGCAACTCGCGGCTCACGCGATTATCCCCTCTCGCGAGAATTTCGGCCTCATCGAACTTGAATGTGTGGCCGGGTCTCGTCGAATGGGCCGCAACCTGAGAGTTGGCGTCATTTCTCCGTACAGCTGCCACGTGTTCGGCAATTCGCGTCCGGAGCAGTCTTCCAGTTTCTCCGACGTAGTTGCTTTGTCCGCAACTGCACCAGATCCGGTAAACGACTCCAGATGTTTCTTGCCGTGGCAGTGGGTCTTTCGGTCTCATCACTTGACGCCTCATGGTGGCCTCCGGTCTGTGCGCAACTCCAACCCCAAGTGGTGCAAGAAGGCGGCTAACGGCTTCGGAGACGTTCTTGATGTACGGGATCGCTCGCCAGAATTTGGGGTCGGCGCGATTTTGTCGCTCGTCTCGTTTGCGCAAGCACTGGTTGACGAAGTTGCGCGGGTAACCGTTTTCTCGGAAAACCCGTCGAAGATATTGGGATTCGGCAACCTTGTCTTCCAGTTCACTGCAATGCGTTTCAACACGCCGAAATAGCGTTCTTACGCAACTGCGTTTGTGGCAGATTGGGTGGTTACTGTTGAAGTTCAGAATTTGCGTCGTGTTCGTTGCTTTTCTGAACACTTTGGTCTTTAGGCCACCACAATCTTTGCGACAGACGAGGACATCAAGGAATGCCAGCTGGTTATTCTCTTCCTCCTCCATCGTGAATTGTATGTCCGGGAAGACGCTGTTGAGACGTTCTTTGAACGTTAGCACCTGATCCCGTTCGATGACGACGAAGGTATCGTCCACATACCGAGCCCAGAATTTCGGTCTGTGGTGTTGGAAGACCAGCGACTCCAACCGCTGTAGCACCGCCTCGACGATGAATCCCGAAATCGGCGAGCCCATCGGTGTTCCCTTCACTTGCTCGTAGATTGTTCCGTCAAACGTGAAGTACGTCCTGAGACAGAACTTTAGGAGCTGAAGGACTTGGGCATATCCGAGACGATTCTCCGTTTCATCGTATTTGTTTCGTAGGAGTAGCTGGACGGTCTCGATTGCCAGATCCTGGGGGATAGAAG